GTCTTGGGATGTATTAGGCGAGGTATTTCCAGTAGGGATAAGGAGGTGTTAGTGCCATTATACAAGGCATTGGTGAGACCCCATTTGGAATACTGTGTGCAGTTCTGGTCTCCCATGTTTAAGAAGGATGAATTCAAACTGGAACAGGTACAAAGAAGGGCCACTAGGATGATCCGAGGAATGGAAAACCTGTCTTATGAAAGGAGACTCAAGGAGCTTGGCTTGTTTACTTTAACCAAAAGAAGGCTGAGGGGGGACATGATTGCACTTTTTAAATATATTAGAGGGATAAATACCAGGGAGGGAGAGGAATTATTTAAGTTTAATACCAATGTGGACACAAGAACAAATGGATATAAGCTGGCTAGTAGGAAGTTTAGACTTGAGATTAGACGAAGGTTTCTAACCATTAGAGGAGTGAAGTTCTGGAACGGCCTTCCAAGGGAAGTAGTGGGGGCAAAAGATCTATCTGGTTTCAAGATTAAACTAGATGGGTTTATGAAGGGGATGGTTTGATGAGATAACATGATCTTGGTAACTAATTGACCATTCATTATCAGTGGGAAATAGGTCAATGGAGGGATGATAGGAGTTACTATAGAGAACTTTCTGGGTGTCTGGCTGATGAGTCTTGCCCACATGTAGTGGGAGCAAAAGATCTATCTGGTTTCAAGATTAAATTAGATGGGTTTATGAAGGGGATGGTTTGATGAGGTAACATGATTTTGGTAACTAATTGACCATTGATTATTAGTGGGAAATAGGTCAATGGAGGGATGATAGGAGTTACTATAGAGAACTTTCTGGGTGTCTGGCTGGTGAGTCTTACCCACATGTTCAGGGTTTAGCTGATCGCCATATTTAAGGTCTGGACTGGCGCGATCCTCCGGAATAAAGCCCTATTCCGGAGGATCTCTTATTCCTACTTGCAAGTAGGTCTGGAGCCAGTCTGGACGCTTTTCTCCGGCTTACAAGCTATTGTGCTGGTGAGCACAAGAGCAGAAGATTTTTTGGTGATATGCAAGGATGTGTTCCTCCTCATCTAAGACTATAAAAGTGATCAGTGTTGATCCTGTATTGAAACCTTTCCTTCACCCTCTCAAGATGGAAGCAGAACCTATCAACGACTCTAAAGAATGTCTACATTGCAATTAAAAATATTTGGCTGCCCTCTACCAATTGGCTTGGGTTGAAGGGCTATTAATTTAGGTTCAGGCTGCAGCTTGGACTCTGGGACTCTGCAAGGTGGCAGGGTTCTAGAGTTCAGGCCCTTGCCTGAACCTTTGCAATACAACTGAACATCTCTTTAGCCCCAGGCCAGTCACAATACAGGCTCTGTGTTATATGGGAAAGTCAGTGGATGTGATATAATTTGACTTTAGCAAAACTTTTAATATGGTCTCCCACAGCATTCTTGCCAGCAAGGTAAATGGACTGTAAGATGGATAGAAAGCTGGCAAGACTGTCGGGCCCAACAAGTAAAGATCAACTGCTCGATGTCAGGTTGGCAGTCGGTTTCTAGTGGAGTGCCCCAAGTATCGGTTCTAAGACCAGTTTTGTTCAAAATCTTTATTAATGTCCTGGATGAGGGGATAGATTGCACCTTCAGCAAGTTTGCAGATCACACTAAACTAGGGGGAGAGGTAGATTCACTGGAGGGCAGGGATAGGGTCCAGAGTGACCTAGGCAGATTAGAGGACTGGGCTAAAAGAAGTATGATGAGGTTCAACAAGGACAAGTACAGAGTCCTGCACTTGGGACAGAAGAATCCCAAGCGTTGTTACAGTCTGGGGACCGACTGGTTGGTCGGTTTCTAGTGGAGTGCCCCAAGTATCGGTTCTAAGACCAGTTTTGTTCAAAATCTTTATTAATGTCCTGGATGAGGGGATAGATTGCACCTTCAGCAAGTTTGCAGATCACACTAAACTAGGGGGAGAGGTAGATTCACTGGAGGGCAGGGATAGGGTCCAGAGTGACCTAGGCAGATTAGAGGACTGGGCTAAAAGAAGTATGATGAGGTTCAACAAGGACAAGTACAGAGTCCTGCACTTGGGACAGAAGAATCCCAAGCATTGTTACAGTCTAGGGACCGACTGGTTAAGTAGCAGTTCAGCAGAAAAGGACCTGGAGATTACAGTGGATGAGAAGCTGGATATGAGTCAACAGTGTGCCTTTGTAGCCAAGAAGGCTAATGGCATATTAGGGTGCATTAGGTGGAACATTGCCAGCAGATCTAGAGAAGTGATTATTCCCCTTTATTTGGTTCTGATGAAGCCACATCTGGAGTATTGCATCCAATTCTGAGCTCCCACTACTGAAAGGATGTGGACACATTGGAAAGGGTCCAGCGGCGGGCAACCAAAACGATTAGGGGTCTGGAGCACATGACCTATGAGGAGAGGCTGAGGGATTTGGGCTTATTTAGTCTGCAGAAGAGAAGAGTGAGGGGGGATTTGATAGCAGCCTTCAACTTCCTGAAGGGAGGTTCCAAAGAGGATGGAGAAAGGCTGTTATCAGTAGTGACAGATGGCAGAACAAGAAGCAATGGTCTCAAGTTACAGTGGGGGAGGCCTAGGTTGGATATTAGGAAAAACTATTTCACTAGGATGGTGGTGAAGCACTGGAATGGGTTATCTAGGGAGGTGGTGGAATCTGCATCTCTAGAGGCTTTTTAAATCCCGGCTTGACAAAGACCTGGCTGGGTTAATTTAGTTGGGATTGGTCTTGCCTTGAGCAGGGTTCTGGACTTCATGACCTCCTGAGGTCTCTTCCAGCCTTATGATTCTATGAATCTTTGATAAAGGGAAATGCCCAGTTGACTATAAGTCGTTTCAGCGTAAAATTTACATTGTGGCTGTTAAATATAATTTGATATTTAGATGATGTATTGCATTATATGGTTGGTGTCTCAATTACACTGTACTATGCATTGCTGTTTCTCCACTCCCTGAAGTTCTGGCAAAACAAAATGAATGTAGTATGAGACTATCCTGTCAGAACAATCATAAATAAATATGGAGTGATGCAAGAGAGAGAAATAACACATTTTATTCTATCAAAGTGTAATATAGCAAGAACTATGAGACAGGTGAAGTAGGAAGCTAATGTTTATGAGGCTTTGTCTGGAGTGCAAAGCTTTTCCAGGATTGCAGAGGTATCCCATAAAAGCTATGTCGCGTTCAAGGAAGGCGTCTCCTTTTTTGGAACAATTTCCAAAAAAGCAGATGCATTCTTTCGCCATCCCTGTAATCCTCATTCTATGAGGAAGAAAGGATGTGCCAAAAGAGGAGGTTTTTCCAAAATTTGGTGCCATGTAGACGGGCCAAAATTGAGAAAAGCCTCTTTTGAAAGAAAAGTGGAAAAAGATAAACAAATTGTGGTTCGCAATTTGTGTATCTTTTTCTGACTTTTCTTTGCAATGTAGACATAGCCTGATATTACTATTTACAAAATGAGCTTTGCTGACATTGTCATAAAAAACTACAAACAACTCCTTAAAGAGACCAGGAGGAGACAGGATGACTAGAGTTGATTCTTGCCATGCTCATGAATTATGGACAAATACTGCATTATAAAAAAGCCATGGAATCGGATTATACATTTATCTCCTGTGAAAAGATCTAACTTCTATCTAATCTTCAATTTGGGTAGAAATTTTGGTAGAGATAAGAACAAAGTAAGATCATACATCTTTTCACAACCTACTCTTCCTATTTGGGGGAAGAAAGGTTGGATATAAGTTGCTAGAACCAAATCCAGTGGTATGGTATTTAGGTGTGTGAGTCAGAACCATAACCAGAAATATGCTATTTCCTGGGAGATAAGTGTTTTCAGTTATCGTCCATGAAGTCTGATATGCTGTTCCCCCTTGAATTACAGCAAAAGGATTTCTTATTAAAGATCACCATGGATACAAATAATTTTGGGAAACCTCTACTGATTGTCTGCAGCTCCAAAAGTTAAACAGCACTGTGTCCTTAGCTGCAGCAATATTGACATGGATTTTTTCCTCCAGAATTACAGTAAAGGCCTTAATAAGATGTGCTCAAAAATCAACCGAGAAGGAAGAGAAAGGAGCAATTAGATGATCGTGGACTCAGTATTCCCTCTAACATTTTCTATCCCTGGTTGGGTTGAATTTTCTTTTGGGCAAGTTGAAATCTCTTATGTGCAACACTAATATTGAGGTAGTGTGTGGGTGAACACCACCAACAGTGATCTGTCCTCCCCCCCCCACATGCATGGGCAGCAGTGGGACAAGCAGAGCAATGTAGTAATATTTGAAAGGAGAGCATGATTTTTCTAGTTGACTCATAGGTGTTTTTGTTTGTATTGGTGTTGCAGGCACTAGGCTCTACAGCTAGGCATTGTCTGCTGCCCAGAGGCTGCTAGACTCCCACCCATGGCAGTTGGGGGGCATGCGCCCCCTATGCTTATTCTAGTACAATTGATTAATGCCACCACATTGCCAATCAATGTAATTCAACAGCCAACTTTCTTAGAGGCAGATTAATGTATTTAATGTAAGCTATACAGGTCAAGAACTGCCTTTCCGTGTGTATATGAACTGCCAAGCACAATAGAGCCGTGATCTCACTTGTCTCAATGGGTGGAGGGGACTCGAGGGCTGTGTCTAGACTGCATCCCTTTTCCGTAAAAGGGACGCAAATTAGACACATCGCAATTGCAAATGAAGCGGGGATTTAAATCCCCCCCTGCTTCATTTGCATAAAAATGTCTGCCGCTTTTTTCCGGCTCAGAGTTTTGCCGGAAAAAAGCGCCAGTCTAGACGGGGATCTTTCGGAAAATAAACCCTTTTCCGAAAGATCCCTTATTCCTTATTTTAAGAGGAAGGCTTTATTTTCCGAAAGATCCCCGTCTAGACTGGCGCTTTTTTCCGGCAAAGCTCCGAGCCAGAAAAAAGCGGCAGCCATTTTTATGCAAATGAAGCGGGGGGGATTTAAATCCCCGCTTCATTTGCAATTGCGATGTGTCTAATTTGCGTCCCTTTTACGGAAAAAGGATGCAGTCTAGACACAGCCACTGTGTCTGTGCTACACATGACTTTTGGTGGCATATTGGGTACATACTGCAGTGAAAAGCAACCTGTGTCCAGCTATCTGGAGCGGCCCAGGCCTATGGAGTGGGATGAGCACACAGGCAGGGACTGCAGTGGCCCCCCCAGCTTGCTTCCCCTTTAATTGATTAACCAGTTTAAACATCACATGTAAATAGTTAACCTATTAAATGGGATTTTACATCCCTAGAGGCTACTCTACCAAAAATAGCACTGTAACTGGGGAGATACCGTTTGGGTGAGTAGAGAGAGATAGGTAGGGTATGCAGTTGGATACATACCCACACCATTCAGGTGTCTTCTACTCTCCTAAGCCATGCTTTACTGTCTACACTGACACTTAAACCCTTGCAGTAAGGCTGCCCTTTCCCTTTAATGCAGTGGGGCCGGAGTAGTTTGTCCAGTGGGGGTGCTGAGAGCCATTGAACCAAACTATAACCCCTATAAATAAAGGAACTACAGTACCTCCAGCACCTCTTAGATCGAGCATCTATGCTCTCAGGTAAAATCTCTGGTCTCAATTTCCCTCTGCCTTGTACTTTTGTATAGGGATTTATGCCACTGCAAAGTAAATGTAAAATTATACTATTGGTATGCTCTGTGTTACACAAAATGCATCCAGTGGTGAGGGGAGACCACTGTTGGGATGGTTTGTAGTGTGATTATAGAGGGAATGTGGTGAGGGATGGGTCTTTAGTAAGTCACAAGGAAATAGGTATCTACAGGTCCTCTGTATGCATGGGTGTTGCCCCTCGTAGAGGTGGACATGACAGGAAGGCTGTAGCAGAGCTCAGGATTGAACTTCTGCCTCCTCTGTGTGAAGCAAAAGATGGAATGACCTACTAAAAACTCCACAAGAAAGACCTCATGAGATTTTCCTTCCTCAGGTCATTTCCCAATATGTTTTCCATGGGAGGGGTGATTTGTCTTGTGAGAGTGTTTGATATAAAACAAGATATGAGATATATCCCTTCTAAGAATGTTCTCAAGAGATTGGCTGGTTTCTTTGTCACACCAACAAATAAAAACAATCCCCAAAACAAAACCACTCACATATAAAACTCTACTGGACACTACTCACAATTTTAAAATTACCCTTTATGTTTAGCACAGGGCTGATGACAGACTTCTCAAGACTCTGGGCAATGTGGTGGTGGGCTTAGGCAGAAGGGGCAGGTTAGGAGCAGCCAGTGCTCTCTGCTGTCTGGACCATGCCACGCTTCCCCCCCGCAAGCTCCTAGTACTGCCCCTTGAGCATGTTGCATGGGACACCAGCAGCAATGTAAATCGTTCAGCACCCTTTTTGTCACTCATACCCCTGCCAGTGGCCTTGGTTTACTAACATATTGGCTTCTACAAAACTCAGTGGTCTCCCAAAACAACTGGCAGCCTTGGTGGTCTGCAACAGTGTATCTTGAATTTAATGCTTAGAAAATCATGGAACCATGAAAATGGCAGTACTTTTGGCATAATTTCCCCAGGAATATCAGTGCTAATCTGATAAATTATATCTGACACTAGATAATTACACATTCATTTTTCTGTAGGGTATCTTGCAAAATAGATCGTGAGTTTCTATGACAATATTTATCAATGCACATTCTTTCTTCAGAATAGAATAGCCATAGCTCTAATAGAGAGCCTTAGTTTAGTATCTGTTCAGGACTTTCTTAGTTTTGTAACTCAGCACCATCAACTCTTTTGCCTTCTGGTTCCACACACATGATTTTCCTGGCAGCCAGTCCTCTTCTAGTGTCCAGGTGTGATCACAAATGATTTAACCTATGCTTAAGATCAAAAACACAATGCTGTAGGTAACTGAGCCAGAATGCTTCAATAGACTAGTATAAAACAGAAAGCTGTGGGAAAATAGAAAATAAAGTAAGAGTTCAATCACCTAACCAAACTATGCAAAAAACACACTGGTTTCATTATGAACATGAAACTGCATCTAGGTTTCTAAGCATGTGGGATGGGTTATTTTTGTATGAGGTGTGGGAAATAACTCAGGCAAAAATGGGTGAGTTTGGTTATATTTCTATTTCAGAGTGTAGCTGAAATTTTAAATATTAATGGGAGTGGGGAGTTGCATGTGAAGACAGAAACTCACGTAGACCTATAATACTCATGGTGACGCTTAGGGCACATCTACACAGCAGGGTTAAAGCTGAAATAAGCTATGCAACTTCCACTATGTCAGTTGCATAGCCTAAATTGAAATAGCTTATTTTGGCTTTTGATACTGTCAACACAGCAGGAAGTCTGACGGAGAGCACTCTTCTTCTGACTTCCCTCACTCCTTGTAAAATGAGGGTTATAGGAGTCAGAATAAGAAGTCCTCCAGCTTGACAGCATTTCAACATTATGTTGAAATAACTGCTTGTAGTATAGACGTGGACTGTGTTATTTCAGAAAAATGTCAGTTATTGTGAAATAACACTGCTGTGTAGATGTACCCTTAAGTATCTGATAAGGATTAGTCTTGGGCTAAGTCCACGCTGGCACTTTACTTTGCTGTAACTTTCCGGTTCAGGGGTATGAAAAAAACACTTCCCCAAACACAGTAAGTTAGGGTATGTTTACACTGCCATCCTAGTTCAAACTAGGGTGGCTAATGTAGGCATTTGAACTTGCAAATGAAGCCCGGGATTTAAATATCCTGGGCTTCATTTGCATATTCCTGGGCGCCGCCACTTTTAAAAGCTCCTAATTCGAACTACCGTTATTCCTCCTGCAAAGAGGTTTAACGGTAGTTTGAATTAGGAGCTTTAATTCAAACTACCTAGTCCGTGCCGCGTGTAGCCGCGAGCAGGTAGTTCAAACTACGGGGCATTTAAAAATGGTGGCACCCGGGAACATGCAAATGAAGCCCAGGATATGTAAATCCCGGGCTTCATTTGCAAGTTCAAATGCCTACATTAGCCACCCTAGTTCAAACTAGGGTGGCAGTGTAGACATACCCTTACAGTGCTGTAATGCACCAGTGTGAACCAGGCTACAGCACTGGCAGCTGTGTTCCCAGAGCGGTTAGGTACTTGCCTTGTGGAGATGATTTAGGTTTACATAAAGCACTGGGAAAGCTCTCTCCCAGTACTCATGCCAGGGCCTCACTTTCAGTTTAAAGTGCTGCTGTGGTAGCACTTTAAACTTGTAAGTATAAACAAAGCCTTTCTTAGCTTTGTGGAGACCTGTTAGTAGTTCATGGAACGTGATACATAAGTAAAGTTTGACTAAATGTGCATGCATTAAATTTGAAGAAATGGTTTAGTCTCATGACCATTGTTTCAGTATGGATTTTTGGTTTTGTCCGACTGGTAGTTCTTCCAATAAAGCTGAACAAATGGTCTTTAATAATGAGACTACCTCACCTTTGTGAAGGGATGAGTGCGGAGATATGGACCTTTTCAAACAGTGTTTAATTTATAACTTGTAATGAAAGAGGTGCTGAGCTCAAGCAGTTAGTTCTGGGGCTCAAGGAATTTCTTTTACTTTTAGAAACAATGCGGAAACTCTGGAAGTGCCAGTTATTGGCAATCCTGGCTAGTTAGGATGTAGCTGGAAAGTAGTGCTTTGGCTATTTGGATACACCCGGTTGATCTCAGCCCATTTCAGATCAGCAATTGTGTACATAACAACTAGTATATTTCAGCTTCTAAACAGAAGATCCAAGGAGTCTGCAGGGAAATGCAGAATTAACTTTTCTCTACTCCTAAGGTGAGTAGCTTCAGGTCAGATTTGAGGCAAAATGGTAGAACAGCTTGAGGAAGCTTGCAGTGCCATTCCCATTCTGAATTTGCTCTGTAGAAAGGAAACCATGTTTTTGCAGTGCAGTAGCTTTGTTTCCTTCTTGCAAAAATTAAGTGCTTTCTTTCCTGGTGAATCTAATCTCAGCAATGCTCTAGTATTTCAATTGATTAAAGTGCAAAATATGTCTGTGACAAAAGCTTCTTTCTATCAGCACCTAATCCTTTTTATTGGCAGATTTACCAGTAAGGAGAATTGAGCTTTGTTTCTCTAGTTCAGCCCAGTATTTATTTCCATGAGAGAATACAGACTGTAAATGAAGTCATGTTTTTATTTTTAATAGTTCACTGCATACTGTGACTTACATCTCTGGAAGGTCATGCGAGATGTGGTTAGGCCCACTCATGGGGGTGGGATGGGAAAGGGGGCAACTGCTCAAGGGCCCAGAGATTCAAAAGGCCTTTAAATCACCACCAGAGCCCTGGGTAGCAACTTTACAGTACCAGTTGAATCTCTCTAGTCCAGCCCTTTGGGACCTGACTGGTGCTGAACCAAAGAATTTGCCAAACCATGGTAGGTCAATATTGTCTAGCAGCATTACCAACACTGCCACCACTTGCTGGGCTCTTACAAGACATTTAGGTGTAAATGAGAGCTAAATAACAGCTCAGAACATGGAGAGCAAGGACTGGTGGCTGTAAACAAATCTTTATGGGGCCATAGTAAACTTTGCCACACCCTTGATAAATGGACATCTGGTAAATGGACATTAATATCATGCAGGACCAAGGATGTTGCCAGACCAGAGGGTGCAAGACCAGAGAGGTTCAACCTGTGTAAACACTAAGGCAGGTGGAAAGAACTCAAATTTTCAAAAGCACCTGAATCTTAAAGATGTTGGCATGGAAATCTTTGGGACTTAGACAAAGTAGTGACTGAAGTGCTTTTGAAATTTCATCTGATATAAATAAAAATGAGTTGTTCAAAAAACAAATGAGTCTTGCCTCTCTTTCTCATGTGGAAGATCCCTGCTCTCTGTTGAAACAAAAGACAGGACTATGCAGCACATATGCATATTCCTGTCTTTTGTTTCAGCTAGATCAGACTAACACGGCTGCAGCTCTATCCTTGCTCTCTGCTGTAGCATTGCAATAACGTACCGATGTATACATCAGATACCAAGTGACGAAGACAATAAAACATGCCATCTAGGGTGCCTCTAGACTACAATCCTCTTTCGAGAGAGGAATGTAAATGAAGGAAATCGAAAATGCAAATCAAGCACAGATTTACAAATATCATGCTTCACTGGCATAATCGCGTCCAATTACTTTTTCAAAAAATATTTTTTTTAAAGCAGTCTAGACATGGTTCTTTCAAGAAAAAACACCCTTTTTAAAAAGAACCCTTATTCCTGAAAAAATGAGGTTTATAGGGTTCTTTCGAAAAAGGGGTTTTCTTTCCAAAGAACTGCATCCAGACTGCTTTTTTTTGAAAAAAACTTCTTTGAAAAAGCAATCGGATGCGATTATGCAAATGAAGTGTGAGATTTGTAAATCTGAGCTTCATCTGCATTTTCGATTTCCTTCATTTACATTCCTCTTTTGAAAGAGGAATGTAGTAGTCTAGACGCAGTGGCAACAGTACTCTGAACAGATTTCAGAACTTTTTTTCTAATCTAGACAATAGAAAGCAGCTACTTGTAATAAAACAGATTCACTGATTAACTATTAATTGTAGTGTAATGAGGTCTGGGGAGAAGTGAAGTCTGGAACAAACTATCATAATGACGTACAAAGCAGATAATTTCAAGTTTCCATATTTTCATGTTATCAGTTGTGTGGCTTCTTTATGCTCCATAGCTATTTAACATGGCAGCAAATTTCAAATGACGACATATGCCTTTGTTTCTCTAGAGATGTATTGGAATGCTGTAAGAAATCTAAGAGAGAAACAGAAAATATCAGATAAGTGCAAATGAACAAAGACAGGCATAAAATAACAGACTCAAAACACAGCAGACTGGTGGATGAAAATGAATTGTGTATGCAATCTTGCAGTGATTTATAAGAACTACTCAGCAGGTTACCTTATCAACTGTTGACATAAACATCACTGGATAATTACAGGAAAAATGTCACAAACTTTGTACATTATGTTTCTTGATCTAACCTATCTTTCTACATGGTCATCTGTACAACCTTCTGGAAGTTGCCTGCTAAATTTGGGTGTCTACACAAAATTATTCTTTTAGCAATTGCCCAAAGGCATAATTAGAAGTGATAGTGTTTATGGTGATGTATCAGATCCATTTTTGATAATAAATGGGGTGAAGTAAGGATGTGTCCTTGCTCCTAGCTTTTTTGATATATTCTTCACTGTGATACTATAGGAAACCCCTCCATGGCTCTTCAAATGATGTCTTTATATGTTTTTGTACTGACAAAATTTTGAATTTCTCTTGTCTACTTGTAAATACAGAGGTATGTCTACACTAACAAGTTTTGTCAAGGAAATCAATGTCAGCTTGCAGAGGTCACCAACAAAAATCACCAAAGTGTGTTTATACTTGCTCCGTCTGTTGACAGATTATGTCCACATCTTTAGCTATTGTGTCAGCAGTGGGAGCAATGCACTGTGGGTATGTACTCCACAGTGCTTGATGACACCATTTTCCTCTTGGTGTAGTGAGACTGTGGAAAAGAGTGCAGGGCATCTTGAGACCATGCAAAACATCACATCAGGCATGACTTTGTTCAGAGGCTTCCAGCATGCTTTTGCACTTTTTTTCTAACAACCATTACCTGCTGTGCAACATGGCATCTGCAGTGAGAAAGAATGGATCCCGCACTTCTCTTGCACGCTCTGTTAACTAGAGGACATTGCACATGGCAACAGAGGTCATCCTGAAATTATTGCCAGAGGAAGTAGACTTGGAGGAGCCTGACAATGTGCATGATATGGACAGCAGCAGTGTGTCATTAAATTTGGCAGTCACAGAGCAGCTGTACAGGATAGATTGGCAATTTTGGAGTGGGGAAACTAGCACTAAGTAGTGGGCTGCCTCATCACGCAGGTGTGGGATGAAGAGCAGTGGCTACAGAACTTTAGGATGTGTAAAACAACCTTCCTAGAGCTGTGTGTTGAGCTGTGAACTGCTGCATTAAGACACCAGAATGAGAGCTGCCCTCTCACTGAGAAGCGTGTAGCAATTGCTGGGTGGAAGTTGGTGATTCCTGATTGCTGCCAATCAGCTGCAAATCATTTTGGAGTGGGGAAGTCTACCATGTATTACTTGAGCAAGTGTTCAGGGCAATAAATCACGTTCTGCTACAGAGGACCATGACTCTGGGAAATATGCATTCCATAGTGGCTGACATTGCAGCTTTGGGATTTCCCAACTTGTGGGGGGAAGAGGACAATAGATGGCACGCACATTCCAATTTTAGCGCTAAGCCTCCTTGCCACTGAATACATTGACAGGAAGGGCTACTTCTCAATATGGTGCTACAGATGTTTGTGGATCTCCATGGGCATTTCACAGACATTAGTGCGGGATGATAGGGAAAGCTTCATGATACACACATCTTCAGAATCACTGGCCTGTATAGAAAGCTACAGGTGAGGACTTTTCTTTCCAGAACACAAGATTACAGTGAGGGTTGTGGAAATGCTCCTTGTGATCCTGGAAGACCCAGCTTACCCTTTGCAGTCCTGGCTCATGAAATCAACTGCACATGGACATCTGGACAACAGTAAGGAGCATTTTAACAACAGGCTGAGCAAGCACCTTCTGTCAGTGGGATGCACATTTGGGAGATTGAAGATGAGAGGGAGGTGTCTCTGGACAGTCTAGACCTTGCTGAAGATAATATTCTCATGGTTATTGCAGCTTGTTGCACTTTGCATAATTTGTGTGAATCTAAGGGAAAATGAGGACTCCCAGGCTATGCCTATACTGCGCCTATTTGGTGTAATAAATATGCAAATGAGGTGAAGCGTGGAATATCGCTGTGCCTCATTTGCATAATTAATGAGCAGCCACTTTTGCACAAGAGGCTTTTGCGCAAAAAACCCCTCTTGGACAAGAGCCGTTCTTTCACATTTTTTTCAGGAAGAACGGCTCTTGCGCAAGAGGGTTTTTTTGCACAAAAGCCTCTTGCACAAAAGTGGCTGGTCCTTAATTATGCAAATGAGGCACGGTAATATTCCACGCTTTGCCTCATTTGCATATTTTTTTGCACAAGAGGGGGCGATGTAGACATAGCTCCAGAGAGGAAAAGGAATGTGAGGGCATAGGGTGGGTGGGGATTGCTGGGCACAGAATTTTGAATTTGCTGTAGAGTGGGGGAATTGCTGTTGGCTCATTGTGCTGTTTCAGCTAAGCACTCCAAGATCTCAGTCTGTTCCTCCTTCACCCTGGTTATTCTGTGGCCTGCCTGGCGAAGACCTGGTTGTCCTTGTGGTTCCTCAGCTCCCTTTCCAAACATTGTTCCCGACATCTGCCGTCACTTACTGATTGATTTAGCACTTCATGAATCTCCCTGTTTTTTCTAAGGCACTTCGCTATCTGTTGTAATCTCTGAGATATAATCCATGGCAGGGTCATCAATGTCTTTACTGTTCAGCACAATACACAAAAAGAAGTCTATTAACAATGAGTCCTACATGGTAACATTTCACTTAAAAACTCTTTTCTAATATTTCCACTCACTTTCCTGCTGAATGCATCTCAGCATCCACTGTAATCATAGTGAAGGTGAGGATAGCTGGCAACTATGCATAAAGACAAAAGACATTCCAGATGGGTCTGGAAAATTCCCTTTTCAGGAACATAGTTCTAATTATGCCAAACTGCCCCACAGCCAGGTAACACCCTGGCAGACATCTCCTTGCTCATAGTAAGCAAGGAAATCAGGGCACAACTTCTCCAGACTTGTGGCTTTCACCCTGATCCATATGTAGCCCACCTAAATTCTGGTTTGGTTCCTGCACAAGTGATTGATGAATGGTATGGCCTAATATCCTGCATTGGTGGAGGGGACAAGGCTTCACTGCAACAACAAAAAAATAACAAGTACTCCTCCAAAAGTTTCAACAGCCTCTCTCTGCAGGATTCCATTGAGATCCTTTGAGCATCAACATCCTGCTCAGCCATGTGGATTAGCTACACAGGGATGCATGCAGCTCACAGGAACACAGCCAGCCTCCCACATTTCCATGACCTCAGCCCTGCACCCCACAAGCCACAACCACTTACTTTGCATCTTATCCCCTGCTTCCTGGCCCCTGGAAAGCAGCTGCTCAGACTGGCTATGTCTGTTGGCAGTGGAGAACAGTTCCTGGGTTCTAGACACACTTGGGGACTATGGAAGGGGTCCTCATTTACCTCAAACTTGCATCTATAGATTCATTCTCTGGCTTAGGTATTCCATGCCTTCTGAATTATCCAGAGGGTTCTTGGTGATGGAGGTGGGTCACTGCCGAGGATAGTGTACAGCTCCTTATGGAAATGGCTGGTCTATGATGAAGCACTGGAGCATCTGTTGACTTCATGGACCTTATGATAGGCTTGTCTCAGTTCTTTAATCTTCTCTCTGCACTGCAGCATCACCCACTCAGATTGCTTTTTCATACAAGATGTAAGAAATGTGCCTGTATATTTTCTCGTTCCTATGGGTCACTTGCAACTGGGGCTGAACAGACTCCTCTCCACATACACTATACAGATATAACAGCTCTGTAGTGCTCCAAGCATGAGAGCAGGTCCAGGTGCTCAGGCAGCAGGAAATGGGATTTAAATTTTATGTGGATAGCCAGGGAGTGGGGTAGAAAGCTGGTCACCTGGCTTACAGGACAGTGGAGTAGAAAATGATGACCAGAGGATCTGAATGAGAATTGTGGGCTGCTTGAGAATTGTGGGAGGTCAGAATCAGCAACAAAATGCCTTATGCTGTCTACTCTGAATGTTTGTTGACAACACAGAGAGAGGGAAAGAAAAATCTGTCATGAAACTGGAAGATTTTTGTTGCTGAAAAAGTCAATTTTTAGTGACAAAAGTTGTGTTGTAGTGTGAACATTCATGCAATTTTCTCAACAAAGGCACTTTTCCTCTACAGAACTTGCCAATGTAGTCAAAGCCTAAAATGACTGAAGTGTTGATCCAGGAAGTGCACAATACTGATGGTTGAACATTGGTGGTACACTCTGAAGCAGCACAAGATCTTACAAACTACTTTGCTGTGGCAGCTTGTATTTTTTCCTTACCATCAATTGGACAAAAATGGACTCCTTGTACCAACTAGTTCCTCAATAACCTTACCAAGATCTACCAATGAGTTTGGAGGTTACCACATTCTAAGAAACCATACTGTTTCCTTATCTTGGTGGCATGTAAAACAATGAAATGACAAACGCTTAGGAAGTAGGTATGTGAATTAAGAAAGCCATCACAGCATATAGTCACCTTTATCACTAAATCTGGAAGTAATATGAAATCTGTAACAAAAATTACAATGTTCAATGCTTTTGTTGTCATGACATTGCTTTGTGGTTGTGAAAGATGGATCTGTTATCAATGGTACATTTTAAAGGTCTCCTGAGGTCTCTTCAAGCCCTAAGATTCTATGATTCTATTATTCTAAAAGCTTGACAGTTTCCATTTATGACACCTACAATTGCTAGGCATCATATAGTGGGACTGGGTCTAGACCAAAGCTGGTCCAGTCAGTATTGAGGTTCATGTGATTTGATTTGCCAGACAAGTAATTCATATGCTCAAGAACTGTCTGTCCAAATAAATTCTGCATCCCAAATTGGAGATTAAGTCCATCAATACTTCTTAGCCTGGATGTGTAGGAATGGTGTGCCTAGCCACTGTTTGCCTGGGGCTGAACATGGGTTACAGGGAAAGGATCACTTGATAATTACCTGTTCTGTTCACTCCCTCCGGGGCATCTGGCATTGGCCACTGTCAGAAGACAGGATACTGGGCTAGATGGACCATGGTCTGACCCACTGTAAACGTGCCCCCCTTCACCCATGGGGGTCTGTCCGTTAGCCCCCTTTCATCACCCTTGTCCTGTGGTCCCAACACCCTCCAAATCGCCTCCCGGCGTCCAAGTCAATCGCACTGTCAATTCCCCAGGTCTCCTCCGAAATGCTGGAGGCTTCGCTTCCCGCGATGGGGAGAGGGAGGTCCGGGCCCGCCTCCTCTCACGGACCCCAGCCCAGGGCCCTAAGGACTTGGACGCAATTCTTGTCTGGTCCGACTGGCGAGGCCGTAGCCAAAACACGCCAGTCCGCAGGCTCCCTTCACCCGCCCTGGGCTGCTTCCTCTCCCCACGCAGGTCTGGCCCGCCGAGTTGGGGCTTACCTCCTCGGCTTGGGGCCCATCCGTCGGCTGCTCTCGGGGGAGGACGCTCTCGGCACTCCCCCCGGTCTCGCTCCCGGCGGGCGTTTAAATCCCTGCACCGCGTCCCGCCGGCGTGGCCCTGCCCGGTGTGGCGTGGGCGCGTTTCCGGTCTGGCATGGCGCCTAGCTGTTGATGTCACCAGCCTGGTGACGTCCCAGGAGATCCCTGGAGTTCCCGCTGCTCTCAGCTTGCTCTGCTTGGGGCTCCCCGGCTTTCCCCCGAGAGCCGCCAAACAGGAGGTCAGCTGGGGGCCCTTAGTGCGGGGTGCCTCTACCCCGTCACACCCACTATGACTGTTCTTATGTTCTTATGAATTAAGTTCTGGCACTTGTAAGCCCAGAGAGGCAGGTAAAATGATTTAAAGATATTCTGAAACAAAATCTGTACAAGACAAATGTTTCTGACTAGATCTTTGACCAACTAGCTATTGATCATATTGTGTGGCACCATGCAGTAACTGTGGGTGTCCATGACTTTGTGCACAGTGAGTCTTCTCAGCTGGAAGTGCAGCATTAGGTAAAGAAACAACATGCAGCTTAATCAACCCAATCAGAGAAATGACTATGTGGTCAATGCAGTAAATATTTTATGTCTCCCAAATTGGTCTGTGGAGCCATGCAAAGCCCGATTAGTGCAAACTGTGATTGTTGTCCTTGAAATTGGAGTGACGAATATTACATTGTTGCATCTGTCGGCTTAGTGCAATTGGGCTTTCCTGAGTATGGCTAATAATTCCCAATGCATCTAATTTTAACACATCAGAAGGGCTTATAGCCATTATGATAATTGGGGGGGGAGGAGGGGAGAGAGATTGAGATAAAGAGAGATTTGGCATTTAAGAGGATTGTGAGGGTTTAGTTAGCAATCCCCCTAAAGAAGTTATTACTGCAGCACAATTAAAATTGCCCTGGAAGAGTTAGTGGACCAAACTTGGAGAGTAGTGCAATCACTTAAATAAAAGGGATTTTTGTCCTGCTTTAAAAGCAAATTGTGCAACACTATGAAGTTGTTGCCAATGCCTCCAAGATTAGAAACACCCATCTCAGAATCTCTAAGGGTATGTCTACACTATCCTGCTAGTTCGAACTAGCGGGGTAATGTAGGCATACCGCAATTGCAAATGAAGCCCGGGAAATTCAAATCCCGGGCTTCATTTGCATAAGCGGGGCGCCGCCATTTTTAAATCCCCGCTCGTTCGAACCCCGTGCAGCGCGGCTACACGGGGCAGGAACTAGGTAGTTCGAACTAGGCTTCCTAGTTCGAACTACCTAGTTCGTGCCCCGTGTAGCCGCGCTGCACGGGGTTCGAACGAGTGGGGATTTAAAAATGGCGGCGCCCCGCTTATGCAAATGAAGCCCGGGAAATTCAAATCCCGGGCTTCATTTGCAATTGCGGCATGCCTACATTACCCCGCTAGTTCGAACTAGCGGGGTAGGGTAGACATACCCTCAGGGTATGTCTACACTACCGCGCTAATTTGAACTAAGCTAATTCGAACTAACGCATCCAGACTAAAACACTAATCATACCAATAAATAGGTAATAAAATAATTGCTTTTGAATTGTGACCATTCTTCAGAATCAATGACCCTCTTTCCATATTTCTTGAATATTGCTCACTTTGAAGGATAATTCTTGTCTTAGTCTTCCTAGGTCCTAAGTCTATTTGATGTTTCCTTATTTCTGTTATTGCAAATGAAAGTTTCATTATTATTTATTTCCAAACTTCCGAGAGTATTCCACAATATTTAAAGACTTTTGCGTGAATAATTTTACTTTGGGTCTTTAACACATATTGTGTTCCACATTTGGACTGTGAAAGGTGAGATTTTAGGTTTGAATTCTGATCAGAAAACAAACTGGCAAACCCAGACTTCACTGATGGGCAGACAACAACAACACAAGTATTATTTCTAGTAATTTGATAGAGAACTGCAGAAAATGAGTGGAAATAATAGGAAATAGTGTTTGTCTTTCCCTCCAGAAGAAAACCCAACCCTTACACCCTCAGTTCATGTTTTCTCAGATTTCAATATTATTTTTTGTCCTGCTTCCATTTTGTGGTTTATCTTTTTTCAGATGTCTTTGAAATGGTCAGGCTGTGTAATAATAGATCACTGACACTAGCAATTTTAAATAAAAAAGAAAAGTGCAAGCTGTTCTACAGTTGAAGGGAATGCTGAACTGAAAAGACTTTTGCTTTTAAGTATCCCCTTTTCACAATTATAATTTTTTATTATATTCCTTTTCAGTGTTTGCTCTTCAAAATGACATAAAGTTACTAGGCTGGAGTGGTTCTGCTTGAGTAATCATTAAACTAGGATTTTGAATGGTTTGTCTGATCTGAATGTGAATCTCTCAGTGGAACCCTATGGATTTCAGTTGGTTGCTTGCCTTAAGACTTGCCAAAAGGATTGTCTGTTGTCCATTAATATGTGCCTTGATATTAGCATTAGCATGTCTATACTTGTAAGATCTGGTGACAAAAGTGCTGTCAACATGGCCACATCTGCAGTTCTCTCATTGACAGAAGGAGTAATGCATTGTGGGTATGCATCCTGCAGAGCCTTGCCTCACCTTCACTTGCTAAGTCCTGTGGAAATGCACAATGTAGTGCTAGACATGTTGGGAACATGAAAAATGTCCCGTCAGCAGTCTGTTTTTCCTCAGCTTCTAGTTTAATTTTGCGCCAGCTTGTGTATCCGTGCTGAGAAAACATGGATACCATACTTCTGTAGGTTGTTGTAAGCAGTGTGCAGAAGATATCACACATTGCAGCATACCTACTTATGGAGCTACTAGCATACAACTATGACTCAGATTCAGGCACAGAAGATGGTGAATTGTTATATCATTGGGCTATGTCAGGCCTAGTATACACAGTGAATTGTCACTTTTAGCTAGGGAAACCAGCTTTGAGTGGTGGGATCACATTGTCATGCAGTTGTGGGATGAAGAGCAATGGCTACAGCAATGGCTAGGAGGTGTGTAAAGCAACCTTCCCAGAGCTGTGTGCTGAACTGGCCCCTGAACTTCAACACAAGGATTCCAGAATGTACACCAGTGTGCTCTGCTGATGGCCTCACTTTGATCACAGATAGTGCTAAAATCCTTGACTGCTGGGCTGAACATTTCCACGAAGTATTGAACCAGACCTTAGCTTTTGACAGCAGCGTTCTTGAAGAGATTCCTCAGTGGGCTAATGATTTACAGTTGGACATACCACCAACTCTTGATGAGGTACAAAAAGCTGTTAAACAGATGAAATCTGGAAAGGCACCTGGCAGTGATACAATTCCATCAGAAATTTATAAAGCTGCTGGTGGCCAGCTGATGTACTGTCTCACCCATTTGTTTAGCACCATTTGGGAGAAGGAGCTACTCCCCCAGGACTTCAAAGATGCCTTGATTGTACATATATATAAGAGGAAAGCTGACCGTGCATGTTGTGATAACCATTGGGGTATCTCTCTCCTCTCTATAGCTGGTAGGATCCTGGCCCACGTTCTTTACAATCAGCTCTCAGTACATGTGTTTAAAAATGGTATTATTCCTGAAATCCAGTGTGGATTTCATGCCGGTCGAGGCACTGCCAATATGATATTTACAGCCAGACAGACACAGGAGAGATGTAGAGAGCAACATCAGGACCTCTATGTGATTTTCATCAATTTGACAAAGGTATTTGATATGGTCAACAGAAATGGGCTCTGGAAAATACTTGAACGATTTGGTTGTCTGAAAAATGTATCAGCGTTGTTTGGTCTCTCCATGATGGCATGCTTGGTCACGTCCTTAACAATGGAATCACATCAGCACCTTTTGAAATATCAAATGGTACAAAACAAGGATGTGTCTTTGCTCCTCTCCTGTTCAATATCTACTTTGCAATGATACTGTTAGTTGCTTTTAAGGACTGCACATTGGGCATACCTATTCAGTTTCAAACAGATGGCAGTATTTTCAATCTCCAGAGACTCCAGGCTCACACTAAAGTGGTTACTACAACTATTCGTGACCTTCTGTTTGCCAATGACTGTGCATTGCTGGCTCATTCAGTGAAGGAGGCACAGGAGCTTTTTGATCACTTTGTTACTTCTGCTCACCATTTTGGACTCACAACGAGCCTCAAGAAGACAGAAGTTATGCCTCAGCCTGTCTGGAAAGAGCCCAGCACTCCAGTGATTACTGCTGCTGATACAGTCCTTAAGGCTGTTGACTAGTTCTGCTACCTGGGAAGTGTACTGTCTTCTAGCATAAATGTGGATCATGATGTATCTGCTCCACTAGCCAAAGCCAGCGCTGTCTTTGGAAAACCTTCCAAACGCCTTTCCGGAAAAGGGATGCTAATGAGACCAGTCGGAATTGCAAATGCCGCGGGGGATTTAAATATCCCCCATGGCATTTGCATGAACATGGCTGCCGCTTTTTTCCGGCTCAGGGTTTTGCTGGAGAAAAGCGTCAGTCTAGACAGGATCTTGTGGAAAATAAGCCCTTTTCCGGAAGATCCCTTATTCCTACTTGAATAGTAGGAATAGTACTTTATTATTATTAAATAGTACTTTACTATTAGGTTTTACCACAAACTGAAATGATAGAAGGAAACACTGTCCTTTACCTACCCATCAAACAGGGCCATCTCTACCAAAATGCAAAATAGACAGCCATGCAGGGCACCATGGAAGTAGGAATAAGGGATCTTCCGGAAAAGGGCTTATTTTCCACAAGATCCTGTCTAGACTGACGCTTTTCTCCAGCAAAACCCTGAGCCGGAAAAAAGCGGCAGCCATGTTCATGCAAATGCCATGGGGGATATTTAAATCCCCCGCGGCATTTGCAATTCCGACTGGTCTCATTAGCATCCCTTTTCCGGAAAGGGGTGCCAATGTAGACACAGCCCTATGGAATGACCATGGTATTAAACTCCATACCAAGATAGCAGTTTATCAGACAGTTGTCCTGAATGTCCTGGTGTATGGCTCCGAGGCATGGACAATATATCGCCGCCATGTTTTGAAGCTCGATCAGTTCCATATGTGTTGTCTGAGGAAGATTGCCCATGTGAACTGGTGGAACAAAATTCCTAA